AGGGCCAACAGCGTCCAGGGAGCAAAATGAACAGTCCAGTTGCTCCCTGATCCCTCTGCTGTTCTGCCTGGAGAAGCTGATTTGTAAAAGGAGGTACTTTCTCTGCACAGGGACCAGTGTGGCTGGCTGATAGAAGCCTTCAACTCTCAGGGGAAGCTGGAAATTTGAGAACACCTGCACTGGACTTCTATTTTGGGGCTACAGGTAGAACTGAGGCATTTGGTATTAGGAGAGGCTGGGTGATCTAGGGCAGGCTGCCTGCACCCTCTGGTCTGAATGAGAAGTAGGAGGGAGGGTAAGATGGGGGGTGTCCTTGAGGCAGGGGCTGAGACTATGGTGGCTTTGTAAGCTGCTTTCCTGAGGCCCCAGTAGCACAGCACTCAATTACATGGGCCTCACCGCCACCTCCCACAGCCTGTTCTGTCACCTCCCTGCCTGGGCTGGGCTGAGCTGCCCCTGGCTCTCCCACCTGTCTGCTGCTTCCCTCCACTCTTCCCAACACCCTCCACTCCCAGGCCTCAGGGCCAGGGCCTCCCTGGGCCCAGCTGGGTAAACCTGCCCCGCCCTGCTGCGTGGCAGTCCCTTTGTTGGGTCCCAGAGCAGATGGGTTTTCTCTGTAAAAACAGAGACAAAGCAGGTCTGACAGGGGTGCTATTGGGGATTGCAAGTATGACTGAGACACGTCTAGTCCCTGGTGCAAGGGGCATGGCAATGTCACCAATGCAGCGTCTAAACCCATGATCAACTGCTTAGAAGCTATGTGAGCTTGGGTTGGACGCTCACCCTTTCCAAGGCTCGGTTTCCTGATGAGAATTGGTTCTGCTTTCGTGTCCGCCCTGGAATCTGGCTCTGGGCCAGTAACTAGGCTCCAATTGTTAGAATTGGCTTTCTCCCTGTTTGGACCTTCAGAGACTGGTTCTCTCTAGAGCCTCTAGCCTCTCAGCCCCCAGAGGAGGTGCAGCAGAGTGGGGAGTCCCCACCACACCTCCAAGTCTAGCGAATCAGGTCTAGGCTAGACACACAGCAGGCACTCAATAAGAGTTTGTTGAGGGATCGAATGGCACAAAACTAGAGCTGGGAAACTCCCTTTGTCACAGGCATGCCCTCCTCTGTGTTCTGCTGCACCAAACGCAGCTCAAAGGCCAGCTTTGTTGCCTCCTTGACTAGCCTTGTCATCCCAGGATATGTGGGGCATCAGATCCTCAGCCAGCCCAAAAGCTACACCACCCCAGACCTTCCTTTTGGATGTCGCCTGGTGCCCATGCCCCTGGCTGCCTTCACCCCTTTCAGAGCCCCTCAAACCTTGCCTAGGCCTGCCTTGCTCCCTACCACTGTGGCGCCAAGCCCTGGCCCTGCAGAAGGCCCACGTAGCCCCTTCCCATCCAGCCCTGCCACAGACTGCTGTCCTCTCCACCCTACAGACTCACAGGTTCCTAGCCTTGACCAGCAGGCCTCTTGGAGAGCAGACCCCAAGGAGGCCAGAGGCCATGGGACCTGGGAGTCGGGCCACATTAGGCCACATTAGACCACACTGAAATGAGGGCTTCTCAGGTTCTTCTTTGGCTACCCTCTGAGCCCTGGAGTGGCCAGTACTGGGGAGTGGGCATCCCATGAAGAGGAAATGCCCCATCAAGATTCAGATCCCCTTGGAATCCAAGCTATTGACTGAAGGGAGAGAACTCGGCCTTGAAGGAAGGATGTATTGGCCTGAATGGAGCAGATTCTACCCAGAGACCTGTGGTCACGGGGCCAGGACAGGGCAGGTTAGGGTCTGAGCTCTCTGGGCAGCCCCTGGCACCTCACAGGAAGGTATCCTAAAGGGCTGCTCCATCAGCTTCACTACACACTCCACCCAGGGCTGCTTCCAACTCTGCATGGTCCCCAGGGTGGGCCTCAACCTCAGCCTGAGGTTGTTCTTGTTCTGGCCCTTCCCTCCTGCTCACCCTGGGCTCAGTCCCAAAGGCATCTTCCAAGGGCATCTGCTCCTGCTGGAGCCTGCCAGTCCATTGGGGAAAAAGCATTGTAGTTTCTCCTGACCTTGGACAGACCTGGCCACACACAGCAGACCTAGGCATAGTGCCCTGAGCTACTTGGGGCTCCCTTGAAAGACAGGGCCACTGAGTGTGCCTCCAAGACAGCAGGAGCAGAAGTCTTCCCCCTCCTGGGCCCCCTCATGCCCTCCCTGCCTCTCTCTGGGCTGTGGCCTGGGGGTGAGCTGTGATAATAATTCCCATAACGGTAATAATATTGTTACTAACAAATGTTTTTGAACACCCTCTGTGTGCCAGGCTCTCTGTGGGTGCTGGGGAAACGTAAATAAATAAGATAGACACAGTCCTTGTCCCCATGGATGCCCCTACCACAGCGCTGGGCAGGAATAGGCCATGGCATATGGAAAGCACCCAATACGTTTGTGTTGAATGAATAAAGAATGCATGAAATGAGCAGTCTGGTTATACTCAGCAGCACAGATGCCTGGTGGGGTGTGCAGTGAACAAGTGAAGGCCACTAGGGCAGAGGTGAGGTGTGACTCAGCCACCACCATCCCCACCTTGGAGAAGGCTCCCAGACCCTGTAAATTGTCCCATGACCTGGTGCTCCAGCATGATAGAGATTCAGCAATACAGCAATCCCCCAGGAACAAGGGCATTAAGTGTGAAAAGGAAATTCTGAGAGTTTCCTGGAGGGAGTATTGGGGATACATTTGTAGCAGCTTGTCTAACCTGCTGTCCAAGATGCAGGGTATCTCAGGAATGAGCCTACAGTGTGGCCCCTAAGAAGGGCTGCTTCCAGTCTTCAGGAGCATAGCCTTGTCCAGGCCTGTGTCCTGTGGGAGGGTGCTGTCAGAAGTGGGTCTCTGATGTCCTCTCAAGAGGACCACACCTTGCCATCAAGGACCCACTGTGGGGGATGACTGGCATGGACCCTGAAACTACCCCAGAAACTGCTCAGTGAAATGGGGAAAGTTTATTCGCCTGATTCTAGAAGAGCCACTCCCCACCACACCCCTGTCTTCAACCCTCTGCGAGAAGCCTTCAGAGATGGATTACACAGCCCAGATGCTGAAGGGCTAGGAAAGTCATACTCGGGAGGACCACTTCTGCAAGGGGGTGATACGCTCCCCCACAAATGGAAGTAAACAGGAAGGTAATGAAGGGACTTCATGACGGTGGGTGGTGGGGTTGGCAGTCCCTGTGGGTGTGTAAGTTGGGAGAAGGAAGCAACGTCTAAGGAAGAGTTTCAGGAATCCACTATGGGATGCCTTGGGCAGGAACTTCCACAGACTCCTGAGGTCCCCCTCCCCACAGCAAAGCTCTGCACCATTTTCATTCACCATGGCTCTTGGAGTCCCGATGAGGTTTCTGACCACCCAGCCATGCTGTGCACTTAATCCTCAGACAGTCAGTGATAGTGATAGTTGCCCCCAATCTTCACATCATTCAATGGGGTCCAAGTCCTGGGGAGCCTCTGGCCTAAGGGTTCCCAAGAGACCATCCAGCAGCCAACTCTCTTACTGGCCCTTCCACTCGGTCCCCGTTGAGCCTAAGTCTGTACAGAGCTGAGCAGAAACCTTCTCCCTCACAGTATTGAGAGCCCAATGGCTGGCACTCCCTGGATATGTACACATACACACACACACACCCCCATATACATCCTCCTACACACACACCACTGCCACACACACCACTCATGATTCTCTGCCAGCTGAACAGACAGCAGCACCCCGTCTCCCAGAGAGGCATCCATATTCCACCCTGAAGGGCACCGCACTTCCTTGGACTACCCTAAGTTTGTGCCTCTCAAGCATCCTCCTTCTTGAGATGTTACAGATTCCACAGACACATCTTACCCCATAACCTGTTAGCATCCCAAGGGCAGCATCCATAACAGAACTTGAACAAGAGGGCACACAGGGTTATCAAGAATGGCTAAATTAGGGGCCCCTCAGGGTCTGGAACGACAGATAGTGCCGCCCTGATGTAGCCAGACCAAAGTGTCCAGGAGGGTCTGAGAGTGGTAAGTGGGGCCCTGGCTAGGCCATGGCACCTGCAAAGGCTGTTCCTGGAGGACAATGGTTGAGAGTGGAGAGAAGACTAGGGAGGGTCCCAAGAGAAGGGCTGCCCCAAATTCCACTCCCCTCAGTACTTCACACACCTCCAACGTGGCACAGCCAAGACCCCAGCTACCCTAGCTGCTCCTTTTCTAGGTAGCCTGGGGAAACAAAGCTCCTTGCAAGGGAGGAAGGAAAGGGGTCATGTACGCAGGGATAAGGCCTGGAAGGACAGGGCAGCTGGAGAAGGCCTGAGTGTCCTGGGGAAGCAATGACACCTGGAAGGACAAGACAGGGCACCTTGCTTCTAAACTCAAGTCAGCGGTCACCTCTTTCAGAGAGCCTTCCTGACCTCTCCAAATGAGGTTGGGTACTTTTTTGTTCCTGCTCCCATACTTGGCACTGCCCGCTGTCATCCTGGGTCTGTGACACTGGCCCAGGCCTGCTCAGGCCCAGGGCTCCCCATCAGTGCTCGTTCGCTGTTCAGAGGACTCCTCGCACTGAGGGGTGGGGTCGCAGGTTTGCCTGCCAGGACCTTGAGGAGGTTTCGGAGCAAGGCACGGTCCCATCCCCCATCTGGGCTGCCCCTGCCCCCCATCCTTCCCCGGGCTGGGGCGCCGCCCCGCAGAGGCGACTTCAAAGGGCCAGGCTTGAGCTTCCACAGCCGGGCTCCGGTCCGCGGCCCGCAGAGCGGAGGCCGGGGCAGGATCTCGGACGTCGGGCCGTTCCAGTCCCGGCTCTCTGAGAACCTGGCGGGGGTGCCGGGCTGCAGGCGGCCGGGGCTGAGCGGCGGGTCCTCTGAGCCCCCCGAAGTGGGAGGGTCGGGTCGGCCGCGGGGCCAATCCCGGCGCGCGGGGAGCAGGGGCGGGGGCCGGGCGAAGGGGGGTACGGGGGCGGGCGGGCCAGGGGCGGGGCGCGGCGTCCAGGCGGCGGCGGCGGCGGCGACGGCGGCGGCTCCTCAGTGTCCGGCTCAAGCTCCGGCCGCAGCTCCGGCTCGCGATGCCCCACTCCGTGACCCTGCGCGGCCCTTCGCCCTGGGGCTTCCGCCTGGTGGGCGGCCGGGACTTCAGCGTACCCCTCACCATCTCGCGGGTGAGTCCAGCAGACACAGGGCGGCGGGGAGGTCCTGAATCTGAGACCCAGTCCTTACAGTCCACCCGGGACCCGGATCCCCGACGTCCTGGAGGCTCGAAGGCCAAGGGTTGGCCTCGGTGACCCACAGGCTGTAGAGGAGGCTTCCAGGCTGGGCAGCGTCGCCACAGCCCCCTCCCCCTCCCGCTGGGCCTACCTGCCCTTATCCCTTGAAGGATTCCCCCCAAGAGTTCACAAACCAGCCTCCCTGCTGGCCTCATTCTGGGGGACTCACTGCAGGCCAAAGTCATGGGCCAGAGATCTGGACTGATCTCCAGAGGCCCAGAGATGCTGCTTCGACTGAACCGAGCCTGAAAATTTCAAGCGAAATGACTTGAGAGACTCCGCTTATCAAGGGTCCCTGCCAGTAGAGCTGAGTGATCCCAAGGAGGTCTGGGGTCCTCTCTGAAACTGAAGAAAGAAAGATCCATCCAGTTCCCCACTCTGGTTTTGGTCAGTCTCTCATCCATGACCTCAGTTGTCCTAAGGGGAAGTGACCAGGAGGAATTTTTGGCTTCCAGGGAAAGGGAGACTTGACTATGCAGTTGTGAGACCCCCTTGCCACAAGACACACAAGGCCAGGGGCCAGGATAACCTCCACCCAGTTCCTCAAGTTTCTGTGGCCATGCACTGCCCCAGGTTTAGGCAGAGGAGGAGGAGGAGGGGGCACCACCCCAGGCGGTGGCTAATCTGAGGAGGACAGAGGAACAGAGGACATGACTCGGGCCCTGTCAGAGGGGGGTGACCAAACTGGGAAAGACAGGATCCTGGCCCAGCCTTGGGGTCCCATATTTGAAGGGCCAGAAGACGGGACTCAGACGCTGCCCCTGGGGGTCCCAGCCTAGGGGACAGAAGAGGAGAGAACCCAGGCCCTGCCCTTGGGGGCTCCCAGTCTGAAGGGAAGAGAGAAGGGGACCTGGGGCCATCCCTTGACCCCATACAAGCTGTTCTGGTCTTCGGGGCCCTGTATCGGGGGAACTGAGAGCACCTTCCCCCCACCCTTCCGCCACCTCTCACCATGGGGGCTGGACCAAGCTGGCTGGGCTTTCAGAGTCTTCTTTCCAGTTTAGGGGAAGGGGTGGGCACCTGGTGGAGCATGGAATCATGGAATCCTGTTTCTGGGGGCCAGGGTGACAGGCAGGCCCAGCTGTCCTGGGAGGATTCCCACATCTGCCCTCACCCCATGGCCACCAGGTCCTTTGGGGCTGAGTGAGGTGGGCCTTCAACACATCCGGGAGCCTTTCATCTCCCACTTCCCTGAGAGAGCCCTGCTGGGGGCCTGTGTGTGTGTGTGAGAGAGAGAGAGAGAGAGAGAGAGCGTGCACATCTGTGTCTGCCAGTGAGTGTCATGCTGTGTGTCCACCACCAAGGCAGGCTGTTGGGGGTGCTAGGCCAGCCGGTGGGCCAGGCATCCTGGGCGTGAGGCCGCTGACAGGCTAAGTGGCAGCGGCTGACGGCCGCAGGCAGCAGGGAGCAGAGACATCTGTTGCCCACGCGGCTGCCTGCCCGCCGAGGAAAGGCCTCCACACGTCACAGCGGCAGCAACAGCGGTGGCCTTGTTTGGAGCTAATCGGGATGCAGGCCGCTGGCAGGCAGACAGGCTGGAAAGGGTTTACCAGGAAGAACACCCCCGCCTTGTCCCCCCAAAGTCTCAGAGCAGCAGCTAAGGCCTGAGGAGCCAGGATGGCTGAGCCTGGGTTTGGGTGGGATCTGGGGAGATTTACGGGGCTGAGGAGACACAGGCCACAGCTTGCCCAGCAGGTACCTCAAGGGCAGGTCTACAGACACTGATTATATGTGGGAGTGTCCTCACCGAGGGGGTTCAAGACCCGATCCCTCCCATGCTTACGGGACTTCCCCCACCCAGTGGAGACAGCCACACTCAGACAGAGAGGAGGCTGGCTGCCTGGCAGAGCTGGGACTATGCAACCTCAGCCCACAAAGCCTCTGGGAGCCCCCCCAAACATTGCCCAGGGCTCCTTCCTCACAAACTATAGTGACTACTGGCCTTGGAATCCTAATGGGTTGTTGCTACCAGGTCCCTAGAAGCTAGTGCCTGGAATGAACACCACTAACTGTATGCCCAGCTCCCTGTAGGGGCTTTTTGCCTCTAGGCCAGGTGGAGTGACACAGGGGCTTTAAATGTCGCTGCTATAGGTGAAGGGGCTGGTTCACGCCCCAGCCTCCCAGCTGACTTCACCACTCCCCTCTCTCTTCCTTCTGTCTGTTTATCCTGCACTCAGCAGCCAGAAGGATCAGCCTGAATTCAACTCTGTCCTGTGATTTCCCTGTTTAGAATCCTCTCGCCTGGGCCTACAAGGCCTGTAGGTCTGGTCCCTGCTTTTTCCTCTGATTTCATCTCTTCCACTCTCTCCTCACCGATATTTTGGTGATATTTTTGCCACAGGAGCCTGCTTTTACTTTCACTCCCAGCTGAGCCATTACACATGCTGATCCTTCTACTTGGGACACTGTCTCTCCCCTCACTCCCTTTTGCAGAAAAGCACACTGGTTAAGAGCATAGCATTTGGAATCGGTTGGTCTGGACTGAAATCCTAACTCTGCCGTTTATCAGTTGAGTGTCCTGTACTTCTCTGGACCTTGGTTTCCTCATCTAGGAAATAGGCTTGCCTTGAGGACTAATGAAACAATGCATGTAAAGGCAGTTGGAAGAGTCACGGTTTCCTGGCCTCACACCCTCTCTGACCAGAGCTCCCAAGCTAACGGAACTGGCAGAGTCCCAGCCACCCCTGCTTTCGAGAACTTCCTCCACCCACAGGGGCCTGAATGCACCCCTTGTGCTGGCTGAGTCATCCTGCAGCTAGCCACCCCCCTGAGGAAGAAGACTCCTCTCCAGCATGGGGACTGGGGCAAAACGCCCCATCCCCAAAGCCTCTCTTTCTTCATCTGAAAATAGGAATGAGAACAGCCTCTGTCTCATCAGGTGGTTGAGAGGTTGCCATGAGCTAGTTATGGCTAAAGCACTGAGCCCAGGCCATGTCACAGAGCAGGTATCCGTGTAGGAGAGGGGGCCTAGAGCAGGGCCTTGGGGGGAGGGTGGGATGGTGCCAAGTGGGTGCCTTCCCTGGGAAGACAGGCCTGTGTAGGTGCCCATGCCCTACAAAGGAACATTAATGGTGGGCTGGTTGGCTGAGGGTAGCATGCTCCAGAAGAACATTGCTTGGGGCAGCCTATTTCAGGGCAGGTTGCTTGGCAGTACCCACACCAGGACTCCAGCCAAGGAGCTGCCAGCACCTCAGCTTTGTCCACTCACTACAGGGAACTGGCTAAGCTGAGCCTGGCCAGGCCTCCAGGAGCTCCCACCCCAACAGGGACAGTGCCACTGACAGCTCTTGAGCCACAGCTTGAGAGGCTGGGAGGAATGAGGGTCCCTAAAGTCTCTTTCCAAAGGTTGTGCTGGGACCAGGGACAGGGTAAAGGATGTCCTGTTGCCTGAATTCCCTCCCGAGGCTGCTTACTTAGGCCTCCTGTGAGCTTATTCCCAACCTCATGTGGCACATGTCAAGGGACCGGCATTGTAGGAGGCTCCAGATGTGGACACTGCTTGACCCTCTGGGATCAACAGTGGCACTGGGGTGGCCTTTGTGCCTGTCCTCCGGAGGAAAGGGAGGTGAAATTGTGACCCGGGAGTGCAGGCTGGCAGCTAAAAGTAGATGACCCTCGACTTGCCTGGGGAGGTGACAGCACAGAATGAGGCACTAACAATGTTATGGGAGAAGAGTGGTAAAGGGGGTGCACAGGGTACTGTGGGACCCCAGAGGAGAGGCTTCCAGGAGAAATGGCCTCTGCTGAGAGCCTGAGACCTGAAGGATGAGGAGGCGTAAGCTGGTAATTAGGGTTTGGGGTCAAAGGAAAGTGTGTTCCAGGTAGAGGGAACAGCATCTGTAGAAGTGTGAAGGTGAGAGCTATCTGGTACCCGTGAGTACCCCCTTGACGTTCAGATGGTCTGGATAGAGTGTGGGTGTGTGGAGGTAAATGTGGAGGGGTGGGGATGAGAAGAAAAAAGGTCACTAAGGGTTTGAACATCAGGTCAAGGGGCTACTATGTGGTCTGTCTGGGTGGGGCAATACAGGGTACATGTGACATGTCCATGCTTTGTATCTGATGGAGAGCACATATCCTTCTGTGTCCCTTGCATGTATGCAGGCTGCAAGAGTGACATCCCATTTGTCCCAGCCCAGAGGAAGCCCCTCTCATATGCCCTTCATACCTCACCAGACCTCCAGGTGCTGGAGTTGGGCTTGTTTAGAGCAGAGGCTTCAGCAAAGCCGTGTGGGAACTCAACTTGCCCACCCACAGGTCACATTGGCAGCAGGGCTACACTGGCCCAGTTCTGAGGTTGGAAGGGGTCTAGAACAGAGCCCACAGCAAGGCCACATAATGACCAATGTCCAGCCATCTGGCTTGTCCATCCACAGGTCCATGCTGGCAGCAAGGCTGCCCTGGCTGCACTGTGCCCTGGAGACCTGATCCAGGCCATCAATGGTGAGAGCACAGAGCTCATGACACACCTGGAGGCACAGAACCGCATCAAGGGCTGCCATGACCACCTCATACTCTCCGTGAGCAGGTACGCACAGGGCAGGCTGGGCCAGGATGATGCGGGTGAATCAGGGCAGGCTCGGTTCTGGGTGGCCAACATCCTGGGTGAGCTGGGCCTCACACAGCCTCTCTGCTTCAGTTCCTGGCACCCCACTCCTATGGAGCAGCACTTTCACAGGGGTTTGACAGGCACTGTTTGGAGATGCAGGTGGCTTAAGAGAGGAAGAAGCCCCCATTTAACCTATGGCTGGAACTATGTTGGGGGACTTATGGCAGGGGGTAGGCAGCCCAAAATCAGGGCTGAACTAAGACCTTGAGTAGCCTCAAACCGGGGGTGAGGTGTGTGTGATTTCAGTCCTTTTCCCACCCATGAGTGACGAGCTTGATGACCAGTTCAAAGAATTTTATCGTTCAACACCTTGTTTAACTGTCAAAACAACTCGATAAGGTAAAACCTAATATAGTCTCCACTTTACACGTGAGACAACTGAGACTCAGAAAGTTTGGAAGGTGCTTCAAGTCACACAGCAGAGCACTGGTGAAGCAAGATTTGACCTCAGGTCTCTCTCACTCCCAAAGACTCCATTCCTTCTGCTTGACTGCTGACCACTTCTACGAGCCCCACAGCTGCCCTGCCTCAGCTGTCCCCACTATGGCCCAAACCTCTGCCCTGCTTAAATCTGGATGCCGTGGACTGTGTAATGTTATACTGCCCATCAGGAAGGGGAGGATTGGGGGGTCACCAAGCCCCATCTGTGCCCTGGACATGCTCCAGGATGGAAGGTCTACCTGGGGCATCTCCAGCCTTGCTCAGGCTGATGGCAGTCGGCTGGGTCCGGGCTGGGCGGGATCTCCCCCCCAACCTGTCTTGCCTAGATCCAGGGAAGTCAGACATAACTGCTCAGCTCTGCCATGTTCACTGTTAACAGCGACTTTCCACGACCCCATGTGGATGTGTGTAGGTGAATCCTCCCCAAACCACAACACGGCTAACCAGGCCTTAGAGCCAGCAGGGCAGGGTGTAATCCATGGGCTCAGAGCCGTTAAACATGGTGGGAAGCCTTCTGAAGTAGCCCCATTTATGTCTGGCCCAGGTCCGTGTTGAAGTCAGGACCCCTGACTCTGCTCTCGGCGCTGAGTGGGCCCAGCTGCAAGTCCAGGGCCTTGTACACTCCACCTGGCCCGCAGTGAGGAGGCTCTGTCCTGGGAGTTCAGCAGAGCTGGCCCTCTTCCAGACTTTTTGGGCTCTTAGGCTCACCAGATGACCTCTGTGAGCCTGGGTTTCCTTCTCCATAAAGCAGGATCACATTCATCACCCTCTCTGAGACCGAGGTACAGGCTGGCTGGGGGAAGCATCAGCACTGCTCTGCCCACGAGGGGCCTCTGAGGCCACCCAACTTGGCTGGGTTCCTGGGCCCTGATTCACCTCTGGCCTTGACTCTGCATGGCTGAATAAGGGAAGCCCTGATAGTAGTGGGACAAGGGGCAGGGGAGGCTCACAGGGGGCCTGATTCAGGAGGTCCACAGAGGGAATGATATCAGGGGAGGGTAGCAGGGTGGGGGCAGGGTGGAGGTCCCCCTTCCTTCCTTCCTTCCTTCCCTGGCCATTTGTTCCAAGCCAGGCATGGATGGAGCCAGGGGTCCACTGACCTGTTCCACACTGGGTATTTGAGCCCCCAGATGCTGCCTGGCCATGGAGCAGGTGAGAGCACACTCTCTCCTATCACAGATCTGGGTTCCAGTCCCAGCTCTGCACTTGAGAACTGTGTTGTCCTAGTGATTTAATATCAGACCCCTTAGCTTCCTCAACTTCAAAATGGGGGATCTGGGATTGAGTGAGGATGACATACAGGGTCTGCTCCGTCAGGATGAAAACCTGATGTCCTGTCCCCCAGCCGCCTATCCCTAATTCTCACACATGCAGATTCTGGGGGATCAAGACACAGGGGCCACCTTGATCTTCTGGGCCAGCATCTCTTCTCCTGGGTGCCTTCTCACCTGCAAGGCCTCTGACCCTGCTCTCTATCCTGCCTGTCGTGCCAGGACTTATGCCTGAGCCTCCAAAGACAACCCCCAACATGGGGTCTGTGGAAGATTGGCCTGGTGAGCTGCTTGGAGGGAGCTACTCTGTGCCAGCACTCCCAGAGCTCTACCTAGGCCAGCTTCCCTACCTGCCCTCTTGCGTACAGAGGGCTGTACTCCTCCAGACTTCTCCACAGGATGAAAAGTGAAGTAAAGGCCCAGCTTCCCCGCTATGCTTACTTTGTCTGGAACTCAGAGCCAGATATCCAGCAATCCAAGCTAACCCATAATTTCTGGGCATGTTCTGTAGGTCCAGGACCTTCCTTGCATCAGCTGCAACCCTGGGGCCTCTGGTGAGGTCCCTGTCACCTATTACACGGGATACAAGGTGGATTTGTACAGCCCACCCTTTGGTGGGCTTAAAGATGGCAGATGGAGCTGCCTGCTCAGCCTAAAGTGTGGAGACCTGGGGGTGGAGGTTGACACATGAATAAGCCTCTCATTCCAATCTTATGCCTTTGGGCCACTCAGATGGCTCTGGGTACTTTGTACCCTCTGATCTTCAGACCGCAGGCTTGTACTTCTCTTCTGGGCAGGACTTCAAGGAAGTATAAGGCCAAATAGCCACACAAGATGTCCTAGGTTTATTCCAGCAGAATTCTGAGTGCACAGAGACCATAGTTAGAGGTGTGAGTTAGGGCAGTCAGTTGGGCGCCTGGCTGAGGGGGCTGGAACCAGAGGCCAGTGGGGGGGTAGAACAGCAGAGCCTTGGGGCCACAGGCCTCTGAAAGGCTGTGGAGAAGAGAGGTAGCCTGCAGGGGACCAAGGAATGGGCAATGGTGAGGAAGAGCAGAGTGAGTGTGGACTACACGTGTAATCAGATTGTTAAAATCCTCTGCTGAGTGGGGGGACAGGGGCAGGGTTGAGCTGCTAGCCCAGTGGTAAGACCCCTGAGAAGACCCAGGAGGCCCTGTGGGGCAGCGTGGGGACATTATTCCCCTTTGGGGTAACCAGCCTCACTCACACCCACCTGCCAATCCGGGGTCCACACACCCTCCTGGCCTGCCTTCTCACAGGACTACTCAGTGGCAGGACTGGGCCCCAGGCCTGTAGCCTCTCGGCCCTGCCTGCCCCCACTTATGGCAGGTTTATGATGTTTTTCTCCCTCCTGAGTGGTGTTTGGCTTTTGGTTTCTATGGCGAAGCAGGAATTTCCTAATGGCCTGTTTCCCATCTGGGCTGGGCAGACATTGATGATGACTCTGCCAGTGGCAGCAGTAAGGGAGGTGCACCCCTCAGAGCCTCCATTCCACTTTTCCTAGGCCCACGGATGCCTGACTCCCAGGCCCCATCAGAGGCTGTGAATGGAAGCGGGATGAGTTGATGGGCTCCTAGCTGATCAACGTGTAAGGCCTGGCTTGCTCCGCCATGAGCTTGGCCCTCTTTATGCTGAGCTTCCCTAGGCCACAGAGAGGGTGGAAAGGTGGGGAAGCTGCAGGGCTTCCTTTCTAGGAACCAGACCAGAGGGGGAAGGAGCAGCTGGTGGAGAAAGGGCACACAGCCTACCCCAGGTGAGTGGCAGATCTAGAGTTGTGTCTCCTTGCCACGAAGGCCAGCATTCTGGCGCAGGGGAAAGAGTTGGGGTAGTATCCTTATCCATGCAGGGTACGAAGCCTGGTCCTAGGTGGCCCTGGGCCCAGACCCCAGCGCTTCTTGGTCCTAGTTCCCAGGCATGGTGGGCTAGTAAGCAGAGATTTCTGACAATCCTAATTCCTGCCACAGGCCTGAAGGCAGGAGCTGGCCCAATACCCCAGAGGACAGCAAGGCTCAGGCACACAGGATCCACATCGATCCCGAGGCCCAGGTATGTACATATACCACCTGGCCTGGCCTGGCCTGGCCTAGCTCAGAGCAAGCCCAGGGCAGAGAGGCCGGGCCTTGTCCACGGGTTTAACTGCATTGGATGTCCTCACGGTGGTTCTCAGATGCCCAGGTCAGAGACTGAAGCAGAAGGCTTCTCTGGGCTCTGTCCATGCCCCATCAGGGGCTCCCAAGGTGACAGGTACCTGCTGTGGGCTCTGTCAGTACTCTAAGCAGTCCTGGATTCTGGGACAATAGTGCCTGTGGTGGGCAGGGACTGGGCCAGGCCTTGGCTCAGGGCTACCTCTTACCCAGCTGGGTTTCACTCTGTCGCCCAGTGTTGCCAGATCAGGAGGAAGTCACCAGACTTGGGGGAGGGGTGGGGGACAGCCATAGGCTGTGGAGTGACCTCAGGCTATGGGGCACTCTTCTGTCTCATCCTAGCCTTGGGCACCTACCTGGCCAGAGCCAACCTTAGAATATAAGGCACTGCCTTGCCCTATCCAAGACTGAAGTTTTCTCCTGGCCATTCCATGATCGCAGCTAGCAGACCTCAGGCTGCAGGCCTGTCTGCTCATTCACCTTTCTGTGTATGACAAGAGTCACAGCTATGGTGCTGTCCTCAAGGAGCGTGAGGTGGAGCCAGGCTGCTTTAGGGCCTCATTTTGCCATGGGCTTGAGGGGTGGCCAAGTGGGCAAAGCTGAGGTATCCAGAGTGAACTCGTTATTTCTGGGCCACTGAGTTTGGGCAAGGTGGAGACTCGACTGGTCTATGATGGAGCCAGAACTTGGGACCCAGCATGTGGGACCATGGCCCCCAGGGCCTGCTCATATCCACTATCTCTCCACAGAGGCTTTGCTGTACCAGAGGGAATGATTTGCCATGGCCTCTCCTTCACCCCCTATCCCAGTCCCCATCTTTCTCTGACATTTGTTCCCTACCTTGCTTTTGCTGGCATCCCTGAGGCCAGGTGCTTACCATACGCAGGGAGTGCCTGTTCTGGAAGGGGAGAGGCACCTAGCAGTTCTGGGATGGAAGAAGCCAGGGGTCAAAGGAGTCCAGAGTAGGTATCTGACTCAAGGGGTCAGAGAGGGCTCCCTGGAAGAGGGGGTATCCAAGCCAAGACCTAAGGGTCTGGAAGAATAAGGGAGGCAAAGGGGCATGGAGAGAAGTGTGCCACATACAAAGTGAAGCACATACAAAGGCCCAGAGGTGAGATTGTGCACCGTAGGTTCAGAGAAAAAAGTCCCAGGGGTGGCAGGGGGCAGAGGTGAGGGCTGAGGGCACAGAGAGGCTCTCGGTTTCCTCTACCCAGGACCTCAGCTGTTCTTGAAGAGATTTGTGGCCACACCTGGGTCTCAGAAGCTTGCTCTGGTAGTTCCATGGACCCATGGGGACAGGGGCTGGGGGGCATAGACAAATCACCCAGACTTGACATGGGCGAAACAGGAATAGTGTAGTACAGGCCCCCAGCTCGTGTGTGAGCCCAGCTCTCATGTGTAAGTACCAAGATGGATAGGACAAGGGGGCCTGAGCTTTGGAATATGAAGCTCAAGTCTGTTGAGTCCTCCAGGAGAGGCTCTGGGCCAGTGGGGCTGGGGGCTGGAGAACAGCTCCCTCTGTCCCACACTTTCCCTCACTGACCTCCTCAAGGGCCAGGCTGTGGGGCTCAGGCTGGAAGCGGGGGGGTTTTCCACAAGCAACAGGGCAGCCCCTCAGCTGCTGCCCCCCTTTCGTACTTAAAAGGTCATGAGCTCCATGGAAGGGGGGACAGAAACACCCACACCCAGCCCCTGTAGGGCCGTGTCCTCAGGAACACAGATACAGGGCCCATTGTCTCCATACTGCTCCCACCCTCTGCCTGCAGGGGGGAGGGCGGTGGGCCCAGCTGGAGCCATCACAGGAGGGGAAGACGACAGCTGGCCCTAAGACCAGCACAAGGTACCCTGGCACTCACCAACTGGGGCTTCAGGCCCACCTTCCATATAGAGTCATCGGAGTCTCCTTCTCTCAGCCCTTACGTGGGAACACAGCCCAGAGTGGAGGAAGGATGGTGATCAGAAAAGGTTTCCCGGAGAGGGTGGCATTTGAACTGAGAACCAGGTGATAGGTTAAGGCAAGCCAGGTGCAGCAGGCAGCGCAGGACTCAGCCTGTCCTCTCCAGGCCAGCAGGGAGCTGGAGCTTGGCCTCTGGGAGGTGCCACCTGCTCACCTGGATTTAGTGCCCACCTCTGTCCAAGTTGAGTGTCCTAGATTCTGACCACAGTCATGCTGGAGCTGATGAACAAGCTAGCAGTTACCCCCATGCTGCTGACTAGCCCACTGAGACTTCAACAACCAAATCGGCAGCTGGCGGGTACTCAGACACGGGGAACACATGGTACCAGGCACACCATGGAGAAGGGAAATCCAGGAATGGGGGCTCAGGAATGCCCATGACAGCCATTCATCCAAAAATGGATGTGTGCCAGGCACTATGCTAAGTTCTTTGTATGCAACTGTCTCATTTTATCTCCACGAGGAATTTATGATAGAAACCATCATCCCCATTTCACAGATGAAGAAACTGAGATTCAGAGAGGTGATGTAACTTGCTCAGTGAGCGAGTGATAGAGCTGAGACTCAAACCAACACTGAGGTCACCATGTGTGTCCTAACCACTGAGTTCAGACCTAGAGAGGCTGCTGCATGGGTGGCCATGGGAGGGGCGGTGGCTCTGATGATCCTGCAATAAACTCCCACACCCTGCTGGGTGGGGGTCAGTGAGGGCTTCCTCCCTCCAGGTCCCTCCAGCTCCCCCTTCCTGTTGAAGACTGTTCTGTATGGGGCCCAGCCCTGCCCCCATGGCCCATAGCCCATCTGGTCCCCATTAGAGGCCAGGCCAGCCCCGGCCTGCCTGCCCTGCAGACACATGTGTGAGAGTGCTCAGGTTTCTCAGAGGCTAAGGCTAAAGGTTTTTCTGCTGCTGTTGCCTCGTTGATGGGGGCCCACCTGGGCAGCGAGAGACCCCCTCTCCTTTGTCTGTTGGGGTGGGAGAAGTTGGGACACCACCCCCATTCAGTCACTCAGCTGCTAGTCTGCCCATTCCTCATGCCCCTGCCCAGCTCAGAGCCTGTGGAAAGCAGCAGCTTGGGCAAAGCCCTGCAGGCTCAACTGTGCCCCAGCTGGAGGCTGACCGAGTCCAAGGCTTGCTCTTTCCCTCTAGGGTAGGCGTCCTTTCCTCCCCACCTAGCATCCCTGTTCACACTGTAGAGGGGAGGAAAAATTTACATGTCACCTCCCAGACTGAGGCTGAGAACAACTTCATGGCCTGGGCTCTTGGGCCCCACCCCAAAGTCAGGCTGCTCTGGCCACCAACTGTGTCATGGAGGTCACCATGGTCATCCCCAGCATGATCAGCACTGGCTCCGAGTATATGTAACTGTGTCTGTGTGATTAGGTGTATGTAGGTGGAGGACTGGCTGGTGCCTATGTGTTGCCTTCATGCATGGGTATGTCTGTAAATGTACTTGTGAGAGTGTGCATGCCTGTTATCACACTGCTGAGGGCAGGCTTGTGTGCCTGCAAGCGAGGGGCAACATGGCCCTGCAGCGACAAAGATCTGAGGTCCCAATTCAGAAACCACACCTGCAGAGATTCTGACCTCTTCTCATGGACTGAGGAGGCATTTTCAGGGCATTCTTCCTCAAATGTTTCAGCCGTGGGCATCAGGCTGGCTGTGGGGTAGTGGTGTGGGGAGCTTTGAGCCCTGGCCAAGCCTTTGCCCCTATCTGCTGTGTCTACAGAAGGCCACCTATTTTGGCCTGGGAAGCAGGAAATGGGGGAAAAAATACAGGCCTGGAGGGGGCTGACCTCACAATGGTACCTTTAAACCTCAGCCTGCTCCCACTAAAGGGTCTTGGGACACAATGATTGATGACCCTTCCTGGCTGCAGAACAGGAATTCCTTTTTTGCGTTCCCAGCCATGGGCGCATCCAGTACCCAGCACAGTTCTGACAGGGAAGACGACTTGGTATCAGGACCACCTCTGGAAGGAAGCCACACACTCAGAACCAGACATGCTGGCCTTAAAAAGCTTCTTGGGATGGTCCTGCCCCAACACTGTCCCCCATGGGCACTGGTAGTCAGAACCACCACAGGGCTCATGAGCCAACGTTGAGTCTCAGGGACTCAGGTTTTTGTGTCTGACTTTCCATGAGCATTTCTCATTTCTGCAGGGATTGAACCAGGCCCAAGGCTCAGCCTTTCCCCACAAGCCCCTTCCCTGACCGGGCACCATAGCCGAGATATGCCCGAGCAAGAGTAGCCAGCCAACACCCAAGAAGGCTTGGCATAGCAGGGCAGGGGTGGGTGTACAAGGAATGGCCAGAGGGCCTACCCCAGAGGGTCTCCCAGTGCCTCAGGCTCCTCTCTCTCCTAGGGTGGCAGTCCAGCGACAAGCAGGTGGCCCTCAGCCACGGGGCTTGGGCCAGAAGATGGCAGGCCAGGCCTGGGATCTCCTTACGGGCAGTCACCTCGCCTCCAAGTCCCTCACAATGGCAGCAGCAGTGAGGCTACTTTACTGGCCCAGTTGGGCACCCTGCACGTGTCTCCACCCCACAGGTAGTACAGAGGCATAATCTTTGATGCCATACCCAGATCCCATTCTAATCCCCGAGCCCTTAAATCTCACACCAGGTCCCATCCTGACCCTTAACACTTGATCCTTGGGTCTCAGCTGATTGCCTTCTGACTCATGAAACCACACCAGACCCTTAAGCTGGCAGAGTGAAGACTGGTACTGCAACCCTGTCCCTTAGTGCATCTTCTTTCGCCCAGCACTGACCTGACCAGAGGCCTTTCGCGGAGCCGCGACTGCGGAGTAGACCTGGGCTCAGAGGTGTACAGGATGCTTCGGGAGTCGGCCGAGCCGACGGCTGCGGAGCCCAAGCAGTCAGGCTCCTTCCGCTACTTGCAGGGCATGCTAGAGGCCGGCGAGGGCGGTAAGATTTTACCTCACCCGCCTTCCCGATCCCTGAGGTACCGAACTCCGCGCCCCCAACCAGCCCAAGCCACGCCTTTGCGACCCCACGTCCGGCCTCCCGGCCATGAGCCCCGCCCCCCGTGTCTATAGCGCGCTCCCACACACCTCGCTGCGCCCGGGCTTTCTCATTCCCACCCAACCCCTGTCGCCCTTCCAACCCCCATCCCAGTCTCTTTGCCGGTGGCTACGGAAGCAGGGCCCAGCCCCACACTCCGCAGAAATGAAGTTTTTCCCTTTTCTGACCTCCGCACCGGGCTCTTGCCAATCGTGCTCTGGCTTTCAGGGGAACGGCCCGGGCCTGGCGGCCCCCGGAACCTCAAGCCCACGGCGGGCAAGCTAGGCGCTCCGCTGAGCGGCCTGCAGGGGCTGCCGGAGTGCACGCGCTGCGGCCACGGCATCGTGTGAGTACCTCCCCTGTCTTCCCCACCCGCCCCCCACCCCTGTGGTCCCCTGACCCCGCCCGAGGCCCTTAGTGGGGGCGTGCTCTCGGATCGATCAGCCGCTGACGCTGTCCTCTCCGATCACCCGTCAGGGGTACCATCGTCAAGGCGCGGGACAAGCTCTACCACCCCGAGTGCTTCATGTGCAGCGACTGCGGCCTGAACCTCAAGCAGCGCGGTTACTTCTTTCTGGACGACCGGCTCTACTGCGAAAGCCACGCCAAGGCGCGCGTCAAGCCGCCCGAGGGCTACGACGTGGTGGCGGTGTACCCCAATGCCAAGGTGGAACTCGTCTGAGCCGCTCCCGGAACCTCCCGTCCCCGCCTCTGCTTTTTTTAATGTCCCCGCGCACCCGTGTAAATATGTTTACGCCCTGCCTCTCTAATAAATTCCCTCTGCTTGGCCTCAACCGTGTTGGTGCCCTGGCCTGCCTCCCTCCAGCACAGGCCATGGCTCCTGAGTGCTACACCTGTTCAGGTGCCAAGCATTTTCTTAGGCACTGGGTGCAAGGGGGAGCAAGACAGGTACTGTGGTGCCCTCAAGGAAGCCACAGCCTGGGTGGATGGCAGACATGAATCACAAGGGCAATCCTGTTAATAGGGAAGCGAGGTCTGAGGTGCTAGAAGGGGACGTCACGCCAAAGGGTTTGACCTGGATGGAGTCAGGGAAAGTGTCAGCAGAGAACTAAGGGATAAGGGAGGGAAGAGCTCTACAGTGTGAGGAACTGTGTGCAAAGATATGTCAAAGGCGAGCACAGGCAGCAAAGGCCCCGTGTGGGCACCAGCACGAGCGCGGGCGGCCCCTAGCAGCTGCAGGAGGGACTGCCCCGCGGCGGATAGGACTGGGGAGATCACCAGTTTAGTTGGGGGCGGTATCTGCCTCCCGGCAATCTCAGCATTTCTCTCTTCCGGGTTTCTTCCCGTCCTCTCCGATCCCCCCGCCCACCCCCACCCCCGCACTGTATTCTTTCCTTCTTTCTCCTTTCCCACTCTCCCCACCAGGGAGCGCGCAGGGCGTGTGTGTGTGTGTGTGTGTGTGTGTGTGTGTGTGTGTGTGTAAGATTTTAGTAGAAAGAAAAGAACACTCGCCTCCAGAGTACACGCCACTCCTTCTCCGAGGCCTGGCCTTTCACAGCTCGGTTGCACACTCCTGTAGAGACTCGCACTTTTAAAAAATATAAGTGATAGCAGAGTTGGTGATTTGTGGCTGTTCGCACTCGATGACGCATCCTGGACTCCGGGTCACGTGGATCTACCCTCTCCTTAGGTTGCTCGGAAGAGGAAGCAGCCTCGTTTATTTAGTGAGCCCTGAGTAATGGACGATTGTGCTATATTCAGTTTTGTACTATCACAGACCACAAAAGACTGTTACTGTTGCAGCAAAAATAGAAATCTTCTGATAAACAAAGAAAATAAGAAACAATGAGCAGGCTGGGGAAACAGCATAAACAGTCCTGAAAGAATTAAGCAATCTTGGTTATACTTCAGCTGTTACTACTAACAAACACTTGTCCTTTACAAAGCTAAGCAAAACCAATTACTCTCTGATTCCATATGAATTGTACCCTGCACCTGGCACTTACTCTTGCTGCATTCTCTTGTAGCAAATCACCCCTCTTAGCTGTTTACATTTCAGAAAGAAGGTCGCAGGCCGATAACCCAGAGATGAACAGACCCAATTACCAGGCTGCCTGACGCCAGCAGTAACTTTTAAAATATTGGAAGAAGAAGAAGAATGCAAGACATTCACCACTTTGATCCTTTTCACTTACCCTTTTCACTTCCCTGAACTGCGGGCACAGTTCTTGAGGCGCTGCATGCTCTGTCTTCCCTTGTGCATGGAAGAAAAATAAAGCCATCTCTCTCTTCCTCCAAAATCTCTGTCTCTATTTCTGTTCGGCATTGGTGCACAGGAAGCCGATATTTCGGCAACGTTACCAATTCACACTCTCACCATCAGCACGTGACAGTGCTCATTTCCTCATGCTCTTGCAACACAGGGTATTACCAGGTTTTTATTTTTCATTTTTGCCAATCTGATAAGTAAAATGCGATATGTGGTTACTTTAATTTGCATTTCTCTGATTACCAGAGATGAGCATTCATTCAACAAACATTTGTTGTGTTTGCTGGTGGGTGCTGAATGAACATGGAACAGAATGGTCTTCTCCCTCCAAGAATTCCTCTAAATCTTTCACTCATTTTTCTGAGGATTAACTTCTTAATGATAGATAGGAACTTTTCATATTTTTGCAAGAATCTTTGTTACTGGACCCTATTCCACTGAAATATTTTCTTATTATTGAAACTATCACATTGATTTAATTATTACCTCTTAAAGAGTTTAATGTGCTAATCTCTCCTCCTTGTTCTTCGTTTACAAACTTGCCAAGGTTATTCTCATACATTTCCAATTGTCCAGAGATTTAGACTCAGTATCAGGCTCTGGAAAAACAGACAACAAACCCCTTTGAACCGTGACTGGGGTTGCCCTGATTCTAGAGACTCACTTGGGGAGAACTGGCTAGAATCCTTTCCTCCCAGAGAATACTGTGATCTGTGCTTATTCTGCATTTATTCGGGTTGATGAAATAAAAATTCAGATTTTAAGGCAAAACCAAAAAAAATTTAAAAATAAAACTTTTTCTCTGCCCTTTAGCCTCCTCCCTCCCCCTAGTGTGCACTGCGCAGCTTCCATGTGCGTTAACTAGACCTCCCCAATGGCAGAAATACCTCCTCAACTATAAATATCAATTTTTCTCCTGGTGCCAGCCATGTAACTCTTAGAAGGTAACATTCCTTTCTCAATCCTGTAAGGGGTCATGATGACACACCTCCACTTGCCTTGTATGTGCCTACCTCTTTGGTGAACTTTATGTACAATGCCAGTGTATAATTTCCCTTAAAGATAGTGATTGGTGCAGAATGGACTGGTCAGACGACCTGGGTAAATACTGGGCCACACCTAGTGGAAGTTCTTAGCTTAAATACTTACTTATGACCTTATTAATGTTACTCGATATATTTCTTCTTTTTTTTTTTTCTTTTTTTAACCGGTACGCGGGCCTCTCACTGTTGTGGCCTCTCCCGCTGCGGAGCACAGGCTCCGGACACGCAGACTCAGCAGCCATGGCTCATGGGCCCAGCTGCTCCGCGGCATGTGGGATCTTCCCGGACCGGGGCACGAACCCGTGTCCCCTGCATCGGCAGGCGGACTCTCAACCACTGGGCCACGAGGGAAGCCCTCAATATATTTCTTATATTCTGCCTATTTTGCCAGATTATTGTTTCTTGCATTACCAAATGTGTGACTGAGCCTCAGATAAAATTAATGATTAGGCAACTTGAAATGACTGACCAATATATAGATCTATAAGATCAATGAGTGTGATAGTGTAACTCTAGATATGTGAAGAAGCAACAAGAGGGAACCATTTCCTGGACCATAACAGACTAGTGAGATAGGCAGTCCAGAGGTCTTTGGTTACTGTTAACAGGGCCTAGTCCAGTAATAGCACATTGAGTGGCCTATCAATGAAATCCTCGACTGACCTGGGAATGAACATTCCTAGTGTCATGGGACAAATTGGTCATGAAATGGCCCCCAGACCTCAGTTGAAATTAAGACTGAAAGGGAAGGGATTGTAAAATAAAGAATGTTGCCCACCATCCAGTTCTACAAGAATCAAGTCATTAGCCACTTCAGTCACTGACCTACAGTAGACCCTGAAAAGAATTCAAGGCAAAGATCAGGATGAGGCACTCTGTGTTCTGGGAAAGGTGGTAGAACAGGCCTTCAGAGAGTTAGATATTTTCAGGAGAAATTTTTAAGAACCTTGATTCTTGCATCTTCTCATACTGAGAAAAGCACTAAAACCATTAACTAAGATGTCTGTTGCTCATGGCTAGCAGCAACCTTCTACTGAGATGTGAGCTGGATTGCTACTATCCACTTAAACAAAATCACATATATACTGACCTCCCCACCTACCTCTACCTCTAGTTCTCAGAGCTCTCTCAGACTGTCTCCTGGGCTATAATCCTCAGTTTGGCTCAAATAAAATCTTTCATTTCTTTCTTAGGTTGACTATTGATTAGCTTTTTTCATTGACAGAGTGTTGTGAAGTACTCTGGTATATTTTTATTTCCATTTTCTTCTTATAGATCTTGTGTTCCTGCTTTAATTAGTTCCTAGGAATTTCTTCCAAGGCTCCTCCCACGGACCCCACCCCTCCCCTCCCTCAAGGAGCACAGGGCAGTGTGCAAGTGTCCTCTGAGAATTGAGTGGCTGGAGTCTTGTGCCCTGGTCCTGCAGGCCCGTGCAGTCTGCAGACAAGGTCAGGCACCACCCGCTCATACGGTGAGCAGAGGACTGGCCCGCAGCGGGGGAAGCTATTAGGCTCAGGATCTCCAGTGAAAAAATCCTGTAGCCTCAGGCACAGGCCCCCACCCCTCTCCCAGACTCAAACCTGCTGAAACCTGGCTCTCCACTCCCAGCAGCCGCCCTTACCTGCCTTAATCCCACAGTCACCACCTCCCCACACGGGGCCTACCCACCCCTATTGAGGGGTCCTCCAGTTACCTAGGTACCATTAAGATCAAGATCAAGCAAAGCTGCTGCAACTGTTGCGGAGACTCAGCCTCTGTTCACCAGTGCTCAATAGAAACTCGGAAGCAGAGTTTTGGGGTGAAGTAGAGAAGAATAGCTTTTATTGCTTTGCCAGGCAAAGGGGGCCACAGTGAGCTAATGCCCTTGAGACTGGGTGACCCACCTTGGAGCGGGTAGTGAGGAGCTTTATAGTGTTCAAGGAGCAGGGCATTATCAGCTTGTGGACAGTTCTCAGACTGGTTGGCAGAAGGTGAAGTTTCAAGCACCATCAACCTTCTGGCTTTAACCAGTCTAGGGTCTATGTTCTTGGGGTCAGCAGTTTTCATCTGGTGGGAGGGGGGCTGCTTCCTATAAAAACAGCTTAGTAATGTGTGTCAGGCCTTTATATCTTTCAGGGAACTGGGAGTTCGGTGATTCTGCCATGTGACAGATTTATAGTCTAATTTTTACCATTTTCCCAGCCCAACAGCTATTCTTTGTTTCTACATCTTCTCATTTCCCAATCACTAACTCTTGAGTCAGCCTTTTACTTCAAAAGACAAGGACACAGGGTCTTGTACACGGTTTCACAACCAGATCAACCCTTGCCAAGGTAGGCATCCTGCGGGGGGGTGGGGGGGGCGGGGGGGCCAGTAGCCAAGAGGAGTGGCGCCAGAGCTGCCAGTCTTCCCTGCTTCAAGACCCAGGCTCTACCCAGTCCCCCAACTACCTCCTTCGCCCAGGGGCCCTGACTGCCCCCAAATGTGCTGGACCATGAAAACCTTGGGACAAGCTGTAGAACAAGGTCTTTGTGACCCAGGGTCCCAGTCCTGAGACGGGGCAGCTGAGTCTCCAGGAGGAGACACAGATCTAGGGTCCCCAATTCAGAAATCCCAGCCCACCTGCCCCAGACCGACCCCTCATTATTGTCCCGAAACCTGCTCCTCTCTCACATCTTCACCTCAGGGGCCTTCAAACCAGAGGCTTGGACATCATTCCCTACACCTTCTCCCCAGCCATCCCATCCTACCCATCACTGTGTCTGGGGTTCTGCCTCCTAAGCATTTCTGGGGCCCATTTCAGGACAGCTGGAGAATTCTCTTATTCCCTTGCTTCATGGACCCCCTCCCCTGGCCAACATGGCCCCAGGGCCCTCAGGATAGAGCCCCTGACCGATCAATTGTAGGCCTACCATTTAAGGCCTCTTAGACTGCAGGTTGCTGACCGACTGTGTGTCTTACTTCCTCTGCTACACAAGACTGTTCACCGTTCTTTGAGCAATCCTGGCTTTTCATACCCTCAGACCTTTTCTCAAGCTCGAAATGCCTTTATTCTTTCTTCTTCATTCAGCAAACTCCTACTCACTTTTTAAGGCCCAGCTCCACTGTCCCCTCCCCTAGAGCAAAGCCTTGGCCGGCCCATCCCCAGGCAAAATCAGTAGTAGTTCCCATCCACATGCCCTCCATCCTACCCCTTCCATTCCTTCCTGATGCTTCTGACACAGCCTATGATCTCCTTGGTCAGAGCCTGGCCCAGACCTACCACCATCCTGCCCAGATCTCAGGTCAGGCATGGAGAGGTGCAGGGGCCCTGGGGCCAGCACCGACCCTCTCTCTGACACACACATACCTTGGGCCTCCCTGCCTCTTACCACTTTCCTCCTCACCTTGCTCTCCTAGTTTCTGCTGGCATACTGCCTAAACCCTCAAGAGGAGGTAAGGCCTAGAGGGCAACTGCCTCATTCCTGAATCCTCAACCTCAACCTCAACTCATTCATTTAACTAATTATTTACTAAGAATCTACTATGTTCCAGGCATTGTGCTACATACTAGGAGACATTTTGAACAAACATATTTAAAAAGCACAGATGATAAGCTGTGGTTAATGGAAATAAATAGGATATTACAGTAGAAAATAAGGAGTAAGGGAGCATCTGTGTGGATATCTGGCAAACTGCATTTCAGGCCAAGGGAGCAGGGAACATAGAGGCCCTGGACGGGGCAGGGAGGAGGAGACATGTGCTTGCCTGTCCTAAGAACAGCGAAGAAATGTCTGGAGTAGTGTAAGTGAGGTGCCAGTAGAAGTATATGAGCTCAGAGAGACGTGGGGGTGGGAAGACTGGCCACGTTGACCTTGTAAGCCTCAGGAAG